CTGTCATGACAATATATTCCATAAAAACAAAGGCAATACTATTCTTCACAGTCCTTGTTTCAAACTACCGCTACATCTTGGCTACGTCGCTTACCCGAGACAATAGGTCATCCTTAAACTCCATCAATAAACTCATAAAGGTTAATGATAACATAACTTGACAATCATCGTTACCAATAGCCCATTGTTCAGTCGCCGTGCGCTCGTAGTTGCGGGCAGTGTTGCCCACACTAAATAAATTACTGTCACGGTAGGACTAACAGTTCGCTAGATTGATTGCTTGCGCAAAGGTATTGCGGTTACACATTACACACTATCCAATGATCTGTATTGCATATTAATTATTGGGTTAATCATAATAATGTAAGCCATATAAGCATGTAACAATTAGGTCATGATTGCGAGTAATCTCGTACTTTTAAGGATAGATAATTAGAGAGAAGGAGATAGATGAACAGCATCATTATCTTTTTAAAAACAAAGTGGACTTTTATTTTTAAAAATGTAATACGACTATTTATGTGCAATTGTATAAAACAATTAGCCAGATTATCGAAAGTTTACTGATTACTAATCCAGCTTACGACAACACTACTTAATCGTCAAAACAGTGTTCGGGAAGGGAATGAACAAATGTTTACAAATATACGAATACAAATAAACTAACATGTACGAATTGCACGCGGTATTTCGAACATTTGATCAACATTGCGGTCTACTACGGCAGGCGGAATTGCAAATAATGAATATGCGTATCTCATGCATCGATACCGGCTTGTTTTGCATGCAATATAATCGAAGCCTTAAATATATTACATGTAAAATATTTGCCCAGATTAACAAAGTTTAATTTAATAATATAAAAGATCTTAGTATAAATGATAGAATGTTACAATCGTCATAGTCACAAAACTATTTGTCATACAAGGACAAACTTTTAATAACCAATTAACATGTGTATCCTTTGAAACTTTAGTTGACATTTTAGTTATGTATATGAGTATAATAATATTGTTTATTAACTACGCAAGTTACATCTTCAACCCTTACTTGAAACTACTTGTTTAACTTGAATTAGTTCTTAAGATTCTAAAATTCCATAATGCATATTACATAATTTAGTATGGTTTTATAATTTATTTTGCACCCAACAACAATTTATTTATTTTTCATAGTAATAACGTTTCATGTATGTGTGTGTTCGAAAGTAAGGAATTTTATTTCTTTATACTTTATGGTGACAAAATTGCTTACTATGAAAAATTTCCTTTAAAAGCTCTTCCTGTATTTATCTATGCAGCCGGCACACCGGTGCTCATAAATTTTTTAATGAACAGGAAAACTTTTATTTATGGCCAATTCATGTAGAAATCAGTAGAGAAATGTCTGAATATATTTTAAGTAAACCATTTGGTTTAGATGGTTCATATTATTTTGAATGTGATGTAAAAAAATATATGAAAATTGGTTTAGATTTTTAGACAACATTTTAAAAGCTCTTACCATGTTCTAATCATTGTTTGATAATTTCACCTTAAACTGGTACAATATTTTAAAATTAGCAGGACTCCAAAACATGAAGTTAAAAATTTAAAATATTTAGATCTATCTATCCACTTTGAAATATACTAGCAATCGTCTGCGACTCCATTCATGTGGAAATAAACAAAAATTTATTAGCCACGTTGTATGTACCTACTTCTGTTCCAAATTTCATTTTGATCTGTCCAAGGATCCTTATATCTTTGATATGAATTAAAAAATTGCGACACACGATAAAACCACGTTAATTAAGCAAACTGGTCCTTAGTTGGGCTAGGGATAACGAAGGTTAATTAATTAATCACGTCTCTGGAGTATTAATAGAGGACAAGTGTTGATGAAATGGTTATAAAAGTACAAGACAAGTTCATCCCAATCTTAATATTGAAGTACTACAGCTTTATACAGAAAATGACAATTGGTCAGTTAATTTTTTCTTACAGATTTGATACTTTTGTTAATATGATTTTTTTCCAAAATGAAAAAGTTCACTTTTTTTTCACAAACGCTATTAACTCGTCTACACCTATTATGAAAATGCCTTCAGTCTCAACTCTTGTTTATATCTTCAATTTTTTTCAGTACAAAACTGGATAAGATGGAAATAGTCGCTTTCCGAGTTTATAGGTCAAAAGTTGAAGTAAACCTAGCTTCGTCTCGACCGATCGAAACTATCTGTTTTCTATTAACTTACTTTCGACATTTACAAATAATTAAATACATAGCTTTGAGAAGATAAACAACTAATTTATTCAGTTTGTCGAACGACAGAAGTCAGTTTGCAATTAGTTTAATTGAGAAAGTTTAAAAGCGAACTGAAAATTTGTCTCTATAATTAGCCAATTTTAAAACCAATAGAGTAAGTAATATATTGATTATAGGTTCAGACTACCAATCTCTATACGACACATAAAAATAGACAATATTTTAGATTCTGATTCCTGTAATTTTGCTTATGATCAAGACTTGTCGATGGCCAAGACCCAATTTTAATCAATGCTATATTCTCAAATTAGCTTAGTAATCTCCTTGTCTGTGTTTTAAAATAAAAAGCAATTTTGTAAAGAAAAACCAGTTACAGCAAAGATAAATGTTTATAGGGGTGCGATTCTCATGAGTTTTTTTATATGACATTCGTGTTTATAGTTACCAATAAAGGATAAGACCTCCGTTTATATGAGGCGGGAAATAAAATTAATACCATAAAAATAGTAAACACGCTACAACCTCCGGTTAAATAGATGTACATAAATAAATTTATATATGTAGATTATAAATCTTTTAATTCTAATGTATCCAAATATAGAAGAGAATCATTCTTACCACCGCAATGTTTCATGACTACAATTAAAACGTAATTACAAATGTTCACGGTACAACCACAATTGTCATTATATTATAAAGGCCAATTATGGTCTTGGTTAACTTTAATAACAAACACTCTAAATGAGGAACTACTGTATTGACAATTTAAAACATTACTTGGAATTTCGTTAGGCGTGGATTTTGATGGGTAAAAATAAGTAACAGCGTTGGATATTTGTCGAAGACATTATATTTACGATCCCATAACTATAACGATAATTATCAATGCAAACAACGCAACAACCGAAGCGCAAATAGTCCGGTTAAAGGTTACGAGTTACCGTTAACGATTGTGGATTCGAAATTCGAATCCCGTCACCATATCTAGATACATCCTAGCACAAGATTTACCTGGAATGGTTAAAAGAAATATTATTATTATAAATTAACACAAATTTGCTAATAATTTGTTTATAATAAAACAACGAATCTGTCTTCACTGCTCCCATTTAGTAGTTAATTTAATCAGCAACTGTTGCTATGCTATTGAAAATATAATTCATTTGATATTCATATATAAACATCGGACAGTGACGTATCGCAATTTCCTTGTCGTTCACATGATTTATTGTCAAAACATTCTGCGAATTGAATTACAGAATGTACGAAGTTTATAAAATCAAAAACGATTACAGCTTTCCTTTTCACTAATTAAAAACCATGGCTAAACTCACATGTTACAGACATGTGAGTTTAGCCATGGTTTTTAAACCTAAAATTAGTCGGTAATAGTTTCAGATCCGTCGAGAGTCCTTCTTCAAGGTAATTGAAATTAATTACTACATTCAATTAATTAAATATAATTACTTATGGTTATCTTTTTAATCTTAATAATCTAAAATTAGCGTACTGGTCACCCTCTTTTTGACCAGAATCTTTAATTTAGTCTCTTTGAAATGTTTTTGTAATAAAAGTAATTAAGTCATTCCTTATCTTTTTCAGATGTTAAAATGGACTACGAATATTACATTGAAAGTTAACATTTTGATAACTAATTAAGTAAAAGGGAAAAAACTGTAATTGCTGTTGTCATTAAAATATTAAAATAACTTGCAACAGCGGCTCAAGTCTCGTTTTTAATTACATTTACGTAATACCGGCTGTAATTACGGCAGCTTAGAAAAGTGTTAGGTTAAAATTAAATTTCATCATTTGATACTTCCAATTTTAATATCGACATGAATTTTCTAACTTGACTTTAGAGGTCGCCAGTGCAAAGTCCAAAGACATTTTAGAATATAAAGAACATAGTTACGTTGTTAATTAAGTAACCGTATGTAAAATCAATCAAAACTCTTTGGCCTAAACAAACAATTAAATTTTACTATCAAGCCATAAATCAGTAAAGCGTTTTACTAAGGGTCAGATTTACCGGAAATCATTTAAATCTTAATTGCCTTCGGACAGCTCCGCAAGTTTGGTAATTTATATCTCCATAAAGTTTACCTTTCAGAATGTAACTTGCAGAACTGCGAGTTTTAAACATATTTTTTTTACAAATAGTATAGTATAATCAGGGTGTCTGTCGGTGGCGCAGATGACCCGACAGAACCGAAATGTCATCTTTGAAATTTAATGGTTTCATAAACTCACCATTTTTTTTCAGTGAATGATCATGTAATTGAACCGAAAATGTCTTTATTAACCTAAAAGCATCGAGGATAGCAATAATCTTCTTATTATCAAAAATGCCAGATGCCGAATTATATATAAAATTTATTGGTCTTAATTTTTAATTTTAAATCCCCTTTATCTTGAACATTACCCAAAATTAACCTAATTTTTTACTACCTTCTTTGATTTGTTACGGAAACCTTTACGAAATATACCTCACAGCTTGGCTTCTGCAGTCAGATTTTAGATATTTCGATTAAAGGTACGATGAACTACTTATTATACATAGTTTTATTCGCTTTATTTTCAGTTTTCTTTTAATTTTGAGGAGGATCGTCAAAAATAAACTAGGACCTGAGCTTAATATAAAAATATTCGGATGTATACCCAGTAATCCAAATACGAACAAGATCTGAACTGAAAGCTCCTGACTACACATATTGCAACATTCGCAATCGCTATTGATTGGCAATGACATCTGATGTCAAAAGGGGATTTGACAACTTTAAAAAGTTTTGGAAATTATTACGAGCAAAAGAAAAGTTGTTAAATGGGAACTTAAAATATTTTTGTTAACTTACATAGTCAAAATGAAATTTAAAATAATTTGAGAATGTTTAGCTACAACGTTAAGTTTATCACTAGCGAAGAAACATTGTATCTAAAAAGCGGTGACTTTAAAAGTTATAAGTAAGTTTCATTATTTCAAATACAGCTTTCTATTGTGAGCAACATGTAAAAGATGTGTTTGTTTAAGGTATGAAACAAAAAAACGCTTAGATGAAACAGTATACGATGCAGGAAAACGGAACTATTGCGAACGCCGCGGTGGTTATTGGAGAATACCAAAATCTAGTCAACTACGGCAACTCGAATCAACTTTAAGAGACCGCCATGTAGTAGAATGTATATGGGTGACTGACTTACTGGCTACATTGGTATTTTCTTCAGGTGTAATAGCTTATGCCTCTATCAAACCTAAAACATTAGATGTAACACAAATACTTTTTGATAGGTACTGTATTGGCAAATTATCAGGTCAAACTGTTACAGGAGGTAAGTTTCTAAACGTTGTTATTTTTTCAAATCAACGATATTTGATCAATAAATATAAACATATTTGAACATAAAACATTCTATCCTAGATATAGAGATGCCATAGTGAATTTAGAAATCATAAGCATATATAAGCAAATAGTTAAGAAGAGCTATTCAAAAATTTATAATGGAAAATGAAAAAAAGGAGGATGTTTAGTTTTTATGTGTTGACGTGATAGCAGTGCCCTTTGGATCAATGATTGGAAAAAGTTGCCATCTGCCAAATGCCAAATGCATGGCATCTACCAAACATTGATCTATCTAGATAAAGTTGAAATTCATTAAACATGTGGTGTACTTTTACAGTTGTTTTCACCAAGACCCACCTGCTATTCACCCATGCAGAGAGAACTGCAACTCTTTTCACATTTGGAAAGACCATTGAGAATAGCAGTCACCCTTGTCGACTGTCTGATAGAGATCCACATGTACAGGTACATACTAGCTGTAGCCTATGAGTTTGTTTGAGTGGTTAAATAAATTATGTCTTTACTTTATTGCTAACTTATAAGTTGAAAAACAAACAAATTGCCGATATGAGACATCCGTTTTTTGGGGCAAAATGTAGTTGTAAGTTATTTATAGCTGTAATCTATCTCCTACAAATTTCCTCCAGATCTATTTTGCTTAGAGCTAGTCACAAACATCCAGACAAAATTGGAATAATAAGATTAGAATGACCATAAAATATTATTTGTACAAGTATTAGTTATAACTGAATATTTCCATCATTTTCTGTGATTTTATTGCTGATTTTCTTAACTGTATTATTATAATTGCAGGTGCTTGAGCTTGGTGGAGCTAGGCGAGCTGAGAGAAGACTTTCTTGGTGCTGTGATGGCAGTGGGGTTAAAGTGCTACTGTGGAGTGCGGCCAGTGCTGAGCCAGCGCCATGGAGCCCTGTACTGGAAGACCTAGCAAATCTTCACTTATATCAGATACATGGGTAATTTTTGGAAGAAAACCGGAACAAGACCAGTGATTCCTTATATTAGCTTCAAAAGTTTTTTAGTTTAGGAGTTGTATTAAAAAATGTGCAGTTTTTGAAATTCAATATGTTTATGGTGTACTGTGTTTGAATTGGAATAAATATGTTAATTTTGTATTTGGACATGTTATGAATATTTATGTATATTTTAATTTATTTTACCTCTCTTACTAGTTTATGTTATTTTCAGGCAGCAAGTAAGTTTAATTGCATTTCACCAACTTGAAAATGAAGTGCTATGTGCTGAGTTATCGCAAAAAAACGACAATGTTGTACATATTGTTGAACAAACTGCTTGTCACAAGGTAAATATGAAATAACTTGTAATAAAAGCATCCGTTTCTTTGTTAAAATCTAAAATAGACTGAAGCTCATAGTATGCAATCTTAGCTATGTGATAATGAGGTGTCAATGGGTTCCTTTTAAGATCACAGAACAATACTACTCAAAAGTGGCCACAAATGGTTTTTTAGACAGTAAAAATCTAATATAATCCCGTCTTACACTGAACAAATCGGATTGTATTTTGTGATAAAAATTTGTTGTTTATTTGACATTGAGTGTGTGTTTTGAAGAAGAATTTGTTAATTTTTCAGAATGGTGTAACAGTGGAATGGCAGCAGTTCGATATATCCAACCCGGAGGAGAGGGTTGTTCACTTGAGTGCATTGCGAGTGGGTGCAACGCGAGTGTCGTTGCCCGCCGTGGTGCGTGTCGCGCGCCGCTCGCACTGCGGGCACAGGCTACTTGCAACTTGTATAGATGGATCTCTGCATATTATACACCAAGCTACAGGATTGACGCATTCAGTACGCGCTGGTTTTGTAAGTATTATTAGTATATTAATATTATGGTTTCAAAATATCTTGGCGGCTCAGAATATTCCACGAGATGTTACGCAGTCGACCTTCATCCATCTTAAAGGTAGCAACTAATAATTTAACATGACCCTCAAAGCCAGGAAAATAACAGTACAATGTTAACAGTGGTAGAGTTCGTTATAGTGAGGAAGTACCATGATGCATTAAAATTTATTTATTATTTCTTCCATGACAAATATTAATGGCCAATTAAATAACACAGCAAGATTTAAACTCAGGGAAATATTACTTTTTTTAATGTTATCTACGGAAGATTATGTCCAGTAGTGAAATTGTACTACATAATTTATGTTTCTTTACGATAAATTGTTATTTATATAATAATGTAAAATATATCAGATACCAACAGACGTGCGCTGGGCGGGCGAGCTGGTGCTCGCAGTGGAGGAAGCGGGACGGCTTCAGTGCTTCGATCGCGCCCTCTCGCTCTTACACCACCATACTAAGTGCCTTGACTTAGTATCACATTTTAGGTAAGTAGTTGTATAAATTTCTTTGATTTTAAATTACATTTTAGGTAGCAATTACATTTTCAGGATTCCGTACCTCAAAATGAAAAAAACAGAACACTTATATCACTTTGTTGTCTGTCTATGTGTCTGTCAAGCCCCTTTTTTTGTTTCATGTAATTAAATGGATGAGCTTAAAAGTTTTGAAATGTTTCCTATGTTTCTAGAGAACAATATTTTTTTTTATAATAATATTAGCAGTTTTTTTTGCAAATTTACCAATATTTCTTTTACCATTCCAACTAAACTCTAGGCTTGTGCTAGTATATTTTACGACAATAGTCGAATGGCGGGATTCGAACCCCCGACCTCGTGATTGGAAATCCGTACCCTTAACCATTAGGCTATTGAGGCTTAAAATGAAAATGAAGTATCATATAACTAAATATCAGTATTTGTGATAAAAATCTACAGTAACTTTCCCACAGAGATACAAGACGAATGCAAGTTCTTGCGACACGAGATATGAAAAGTGGTCCGATAATATTGGCACTATTTGCTGGCGGACCATTGACACTGCTTCATATCACGCACCAAAGACTTTTAACGGTAACAATGTACACTATATTTTAAATATAATCTACCCATTACAGTTTTTCTACATTTTACTAAATATCACGACAATATTTCTGATAAGATTCTAATTTATTCAACTTTATATATTTAATTTATAACACAGTTAAAATTTTAATTAAATTTCTAGATTTTAAAAATATCTCAGTATTAACAAAAATCTTTTAGTAATTATTTTAATAATTTCCCAGGCATGGATAAGAGCGGATCGAACGTCAAACGCCGTGTCTCTCTTACGTGCGATGGACTGGGAGGAAGAGGGGATAGAATGTCTACGAGCTCTCAGTGAACTTGTACACGGCGCGTTGCGAAACTCGCAACAAGACAAGACTATGAACAATGAGAACGCAGCCCAGGCAGCACTAGGTGCCTTCCTAGCACCCTCCGTGCCACTGGGAACTTCGGCCTTACGCTTTGCGCCACCTGTACATGATCTAGCAAGGAAGTTCTTCCATCATTTACTTAGGTATGACATTTTTAACTAAAGAAATATATAAAAACGATAGAAGTAATTCGAAACTTGCATCATCACGAGACCCCTAAAACTTTGACATCTTAATCTATGACATGACGCTCAAGTAAGACCCTTTTTCCACTGGCGTTGAACACTCCTGACAAAGGCTTGTTTCCACTGATTGCTTAATAATATGATACGTGTTTACAGACGTGGGCGTATCGAGAAGGCGCTGAGCCTGGCGGTGGACCTGTCTGCGTGGGATCTGTTCGCGGACGCGCGCTGGGCGGCGCGGCGAGCGGGACAGCCGCACCTCGCGCGTGAGGCCGCACGCGCCGCACATCACTACGCACATCTGCATGCTGACGGTACTACAAACATATAGCTTGCAGCTGATCAAGCATAAATACTATCCTTAATGCTTGACAAAGAACAGTGATATTTATTTTATTATATATTCTTCAATTGTAAAATAAAAACCATCTCAAAGCCCAATCAGACACAGACTTAGGAAGAGTTTACTCGCATACACTTATATAAACGTGAATATTGACAGTTCTGGAAGTTTCCTTCAGAGAGTCATTCTCGATTTTTTAGAAATATTTATAACACAAAGTTTAATTTTCTTTATAGATTCAGAATGTTCGGAGTCTTGCTCGCAATGCAGTTCGCGAACTTGCTCGGAATCCGAAGAGGAGCTGACTGGTTACACCCGCAACGGCAAAACCACGCCCCCACCTCTACCGCGCCTCCCGCAGCCCCCGCAACCTACCATATTGCCTGTACCTATAACACAAAACGAACCAACATCCACACACAGCATCAGACCCAATCTACATCAGTATCTAGAAAGAGACAACACTATATGGAACACGGAGTTACGAGACGACACCTGCATTGATAGAAAAATGTACGAAGAACATTTCAAACCGATCAGAAACCTACAAACTGTGAAATGGCAAAGTGTAGACAACATGTTAATGAACTATAGAAAACCTTTAAGCAATGCTAACACTGATGTACCAAGATCTCATTTATTCGATGTCATACCTAGAGTACAAGATGACAAAGTATCACATTTCAAACATGTTTACCAAACAGATTTGAGAGAAGCGATACCAACTACTTATAGATATCAGAGTAATATCAATACCAATGCCAACGGGAGACTGTATAGACATGACAGTACTTGGTCAGGTAAACCTCTCGAGAAGAATAAAGTCAAATTTTCCGATACCGTGACAGTTGCAGTTGTGTCAGTGAGTCTAAACCTCAAATTTTTTTTATAAATTTTACAATACAAAATATACACTCCTATCATATTGTATCTTTTTGTTTATGTGTAAATTCTAGGAGCCGCCATCATCACCCGACGCGGCACACGAATTAGCGGACAGCCTACCTTTGTGCGCTCCCCACAAGTACCTAGCGAACTTCGCCCCCGCCCCAACAGTACCGAAGCCCCCGGCAAAGATTCCTACAGCTAATAAGTTAACAATCAGCAAGGTGCCCACAATCGCCAAGCCAAACGCCAAACCAATCGCCAAGGTCGCCACATCGCCATCTCAATCGCCAACCGGTACTACGCTCGACTACGTGGAAGTGTGACGCATGCCGAGATTATGTCACTAATGTGTGTTAACATTTTGCACAAATATGCATGCATCACAATTAACTAACATATGTTTGTGATAACAGTGTGTCCCAAATAAAGCCCTGAACTTTTAAACAAAAACTGATGAACTGCTATTACTGACTTGGGAGCAATTTTTATTTTCGTCGGAAATGCAATTTTGTAAGAATATTGATTTTTGAATATAAGATAATACAGTAGTCTTAATGACCATTGTTTACAAAGTTAGGTCTTAATTTTTGTATACATCAATGCATGGAAACAAATATGATAATCAAGAAATTCTATTTATGTTGATAGTTGTAATTGGCTGTGATGATACTTTTACAACTCCAAGAGACGGTCAAAATCTCATTTAAGGATATGTTTGTTTTATAATTTTCTAGAGTTGCATTAGTAAACATCTTAAGGGTAATTTATAGGCTTTTACTTAGTAAAATCCTAAACCACCATAATTAAAAGAATTTTCGTATTAAACTGCATTATTTTTCGTTTTTAGTCACTTCTCTTTTTGTAAACTTTCTGATGAAAAAGTGAAAATAGAATAAGCATTTATGGAATTTATACCATATTTTATTACATTTTTGCATGCTGACTTGCATGATCTTCATATATGTATTGAAAATTATAAGTTTTTAACCTATTTTTTAATGTTTTAGTGTATTTATGCTGACTTGTAATGTTCATAATCTTGTTTTCAGATAATCCTGTTCCACAGCCGCCTAAAATTAAAGTGGTACACTTTGGAATGGTTTAATGCAATGTATAAAATAAAAATATAAGTATCAGTCCGTCCATTAGCTTAGTTTAATATTGCTATTAAGACTACCTCAAAATCAGAATCTAAATAAATATAGTATATTGAAAAACATCTGCTTAATAAGTGTTTATTGCAGTTTTTTATATTTTTATACACAACATTAAAAATAAAATGATGTGATAACTTATGTTGTGTTTTAATTTTAATAATACAATTTATGTAATTCTAGCTGTCTCCCACAAATTAAAAGCAAAGTTAATAAGTAGCCTTTGTGTTCTTCCAGACTATGTTCTAGATTTATGCCAAATTTCAGTCAGATCTGTACAGCCATTATATCTTCAATCATTCATCCATCTAACATTCACATTTATTTTACATATTAGTAAGATATGCTTACTCAAACATGGCTCCCAGTTTCGTAAAAAGCTACCAATTAACTATTGTACTTTTTCAATGTAAGGACTTAGAAATTAGCTGAAGAAAATTTAATGTCAAAATTGTTAGTCATTACATTATATTTTAAATGTGCAAGGAATTATTAGAAAGAAACAAAAATTTGGTTGTTACTTTTATTCCTTCAAGTGTTTACATTTTCAAAATTGCCATTTTTTTGGTGAAATGAAAATAAAATGCTTAATCCTTGATCTTCTTCTTGGGGCGGAGGTTGTTGGTGTGGCCACACTTGGTCTTGCGGCAGTTGGTGGCACGCGGATGGAGGCGAGCATAGCACTTGCGGCAGATCATCTTGTCACAGTTGTATTTCATGGCCAAAATACGGAGGGAAGGCTCAATAGTACCTAAACAAAATTAATATGCTGAATATGTGGTTGTAATAGTATTACAGTTTTATGGAATAGTAGCAGTTGCTTGAGACTTCTCTGAATAAAATATAACCTATATGCATCCAGAATGTTCTATGTTCCAAATTTCAATTAAATCTGTTCAGCTTTTCTTTCTGGGTTTATATGATAATATTCATATACCCAACCAAACTTCGGCATTTATAATGTTCGTACGAAAAGCGATCTATTATTAAGATACACGAAACTAGTGGTGTTACAGATACAAAGTAACATTACCTCCTCGAAGCCTCAACACCAAGTGAAGTGTCGATTCCTTCTGGATGTTGTAGTCGGACAATGTACGTCCATCTTCCAACTGTTTGCCGGCGAAGATCAATCTTTGCTGATCTGGTGGAATGCCCTCTTTGTCTTGAATTTTCGCTTTTACATTTTCGATAGTGTCAGAGGCTTCAACCTCTAACGTTATGGTTTTACCCGTAAGGGTTTTTACGAAGATCTGCATTGTTAAACTGTAAAAACGTAAACACACACTTAAATTTTTGTATATTTTTGTTGGCAAATTATGAAATGGAAAGAACAAAAGCCAATCAAGAAGTCAGATTGACACGCCACGCGGAAGTTTGAATTTGGAATATTATATTCGAATTTTATATGACACGATGATTGCTTATTACAAAACCATTATTATTAAAAATAGAAAACATTTTGCTTATTTTTACCTCTAACAAACATAAAAAATAATTTTTACCACTAACCTTTATAAAATGTGCTTGTAAGAACTGTCACACACGCGAAAAGACAAATTATAGAAGATATGACAGATAGTAAAATATTGTTTAAGTTTGTTATCTGTATCACAGAGTAGTACACCTGATTTTTTTTTTAATTTTTGCAAATCTGATTTTAATGAAATAAAGTAACTAAATACACTGTTCGTCGAATCATTTAAATTAGAACGTAATAATACTACCTATTTAAAGGTCTAAATAAAATATATTTTGCGCTTGTATAAACGGAGAAATAATTTGGTTTCGGAACGCAACTACTGTCTTTGATAAGTACTTGTTTCGTAACAGGGCTAGATTTTCAGGAGCTGTTCTGTAATAAACGTGATATCGATTTAAGAAAATGTACCACCAACTAAGCAAAGTTACCGGCAGGCTGGTCTCTGCGACCCATTTACAGAGCCCACTCTTTCCAGTTGTAAGTATTTGATCGTAGAACTTTGGACAGCATTGCATGATTTTGGGTTTCATATTTAAAGTATACCTTAATTCTGTAGGCACCAATCGCCTTGCAACGAGTGGAAGTACCTCAAATCCAATACAACACGTCCCATATGTCCACTGTGACTGAAGCGTCTGCCTGCCCAGCTCCTGGGTCTCAAAAACTTGTCCCTGGAACCAACGTTCCCTATGCCCCTGTTTCTGAGAAGATCAGGAGACAACAAGAAATTTTCCAGGTAAGATACGTGACATTATTGAAATTTCATTTGTCTGTTTTTGTATAAAAACTTTTCAAATAAAACATTCAGTTTAAAATAGCATGGCTAAATATTTTTTATTGATTTATCTAATTTTTGATCTTTCTGGGTTAGGATCAATAGTATAAATAAAAGTAGCTTGCTTCCTTTAGCATGGGATCGGTAAAATTCCAAAATTAACACAAATCTATGTGTATAGTAACATTGTTCATTCTATGCGAAATAGATTTCTGGACATTAGAATGTAATCATCTCATTTTCTTGTTTTTCACACATTTTATAACATATTTGATCCTATTTCATTTTTAATGCCATAAGTTTATTAGATAATTGATTTATGATTTCGGGAATCATAAAAAATATTTTTCACCTAAAGTATGTTCTATAATATTATCTTTTTATTAATTAATTTTTTTTTCAGAAACATAATGATGTCCCAGTGTTCCTGAAAGGGGGTCCATTTGACAGTATCCTATACCGTTTCACAATGACTCTGTGCATTCTCGGCTTGGCCGGTATTGCACACACTGTTTATAAACATGCTGTACCCAAGAAGAACTAAAATGTTGCTTGTCTTATTATAATTTAAATATTAGATGCAATCGCTGTGTTATAGTGTTTCCTTGTAATCTGGAATAAAGAATTAAACTTGAAAGGTTGTCTTTTCATTGAGCTTTTACAATGTTGACTGCAATTGAAGCATCTCATTGAATATTCTTATGTGATACAAATGTAAAAAATTAAGTGATGGTTAAATTCAGTTCAAATAATCAGTATCCTTGCTGACGAAAAGAAATCTTGCATAAGTGACCAGACCTTCACAAACCTTTTGCAACTGGATGCATTGGCTATCGTTATTACTACAGTAGGACATGTGCCTGGCATGGCCTGTTTTGGTTCTCTAGAGACAGTGTTTACATTATATCACCAATTGTATTAAGCACTACTGTCCTGCCATACATTACCGTATATATAATTTTATATATATAGATATGCAGAGGATGCCCACCCAGGTAGAAGAAATCGATCAGGTTTCTAGATAAGACACATTGCACCTTGTGCTACGTCACTTCAATTGTATACTACTGTAGAAACAGGAAATAAAACAACATCAATGTTTTTTAAACATTCTATTGAAGTTTTGAAATTAAAACTGGCCGTATATTTATTCCGCCGCACTATGCAACTCTCTAACACTTTTTTTAAGCCATTTAAGTATTTTAGGTACATAAGACAATTAGACAACGGTTAATTATATAAATAGGAAAAGCAATACTACTAACATCGTTTCATAAAATTGCTATTTAGCTAACAACGTTCAAGAATTGCAAAAACATTATGACTACCTTGCATAAAGCACTAAATACTAAATTGCATGATAACGCATAATTTAACAACAATTCTTGCAATACGAACACTTCTCTTGTTTTTAACAATTTATCATAAACATGAGTAAACACGACTATTTCATAGCGAAAATGTTTATCTGCAAATAATACAAAAAGCTTTCTTACAATACTTTGTTCGCAGGTGTTAGGAAAAATAAAACAAAAAAATATAAAAAAAAAAACTAAAAATGTGCATCAGGTACCTTACACTAAAAATAATAAATGTTTAATATGAAAATAAAAAAGGCTATTAAATAGGAACAAATATTACATCAATAGTAAAATAATATCTTACAAAGTAAGACAAATAATTAAGTAACTTAAAATAAAAAAAAGCTCATCAACTTTTAACATTTCTAAAAAACCTGCACTTTACCAAAAACACGAATTAACTTAATAAGTGCTGACTGGTAGGAAAATGTAATCCAAAAAGTAATATTAAAAATTAACCATTATATGCAGAAAAATATTAATTATAATAATTTTTTTATAACAGTATTTCCTTAATCTAATCGTTGTTATTATTTATTAATTCTACAGCAATTTGAAATATAAAATTTTACACATGATGTTTCTTGCCAAATCACAATAAATTACCAATTAACAATGTATTTAAATTAATTATATCATGTAGCTTTTTTTTCCAACAATCAAATTAATATTTAAATTATCAAATATTAAATCATATGTCAACATAAATACATTATATTAAAAACATATTATATATTTTCAGAAAAAATATTGTTCAATAAGGTGAGAGATTCCACTAGACAAGATTTTTTGAAGAAAAATGCTTACACAGCCATAAATAAACTTAACAAGTAGACAAAAAATAAATTAGAAATATGTGGTGTATAACAAAAGTAAGACAATTATTAAATTTCTTCAATTCATCGAAATAATTAAATAAAAATCCACCAACACCAAACCACATCTTATTATTAATCATAGACATAAAATTAAGAAATACTTGAATTATATAGTCAAGTTTTATTTTGATAATTTTGATACTCGCTTCTAAAAAACTAAAATGAAGCGGAAACACATTTTAATATAATTAATTTTTATTCCGAATTACAAAAACTATTGTCTGCTCTACTCCTACTTTTGTACCCTTAAGTAAGACAGGGAAAACATATATAATAATAAACAGTAGATAAAATATCAATATTTGCTTACATGAACTTTATATTAATTTCAATATTTTAAATTAATCTCAATTAGGCATAACTAACAAAAACTATTTTAAATTCATAGACCTTGACTTCATTGAATAGATGAATTAAATATTTTTAAATTAAATTTTAAACCAGTCTTATAATAAATTTCACTTTTAATAACTTTACTGGACAAAGTTTATCTATAAATTAACTTTAATGTAATATAGGAGAGCTTTGCTTCATGTTATAATTTTTTAAACCAACAACACATTTTTTTAGAGATCAGTACTTCAAGAATTTTACATTATGTTACTGTTTTCATTCACGTTGGAAAAACTTGATAACAATATGTTTTGGTCAATGGAAACTCCAGAGTATTATGACATTTACACCAAAACAAACTGTGTCATGTTATGTTTAACACATCCTCAATGATTAGCAATTTTTATCTCTTGATATTTAATATGTTGATAATAAAACATCATGAAGTACACTGTACATTATTATCAGCTTATAAAATTACTCAATGATATGAATAAAATTGGTAATGTTGACAAAAGACCTGGTTGTTGGTGCAAAAACTGCACCACAGAATAAAAGGATAAGAGACTTGAAATTTAAAATGACGACACAAAATTGTAAATATAAAGTCATCCAGCATGTCATAAATATAAAGATTTATATTTTAAATGTATATTGAGTTTGAACATGTTTTAAACTACACAATGTTAATTATTTTTTGTTTTGAACATCTTTTCAACTCAACATTAATTCTGAGGGAAAATATTTTATAACAGCATTTAATAACACGAACAAAGATTTACATTGATAGAAACTACTATACATCTACGAACCAATAACAAAACCAACAAGTTATTATACCTTTAAATCTAATTAACTTTATTGATATAATTTATAATGTATATTTAAACATTCTACACACAGCTTGCAATACACTTGCCAATTGTACAATACATATATAGTAAAATGCATTTGTATACAACTATGGAATTTACGTAACGAGATATTACGTATTAAGTTTATGTAACAGGTCGCGGGCGAGCAGGTAATGGGGGAGGTGCACCTTGACGCGCGGGTACGGGAGGTGGAGGACCCGTAGGAGGTGCAGCATTCGTAGGAGGAGGGGTAGAGCTTTGCGGCGGAGGAGGGGGAGCACACGACGGAGGAGGAACACTATCAGGTGGTGGCGACGCTATTGGTGGTTGCACGACGCTCGCTCCAGAGTCTGGGGGGAGCGGGGCAGGTCTGGGAGGCGGGGGCCGAGCGGGGCTCGCCACCGGCGCTCGTGACGGCAGCAATGGTGTGGGAGAAGGAGCTGGAGGCCTGCTCGGCTGCTGTCGCCGCGGCGTCGGCGGAGCTGACCTCAGCGGCCGTTCCGGTTGTACCTCACCAAATAATGGAATCGTATTGTTTGTACACAAGTTGATTTCGGACCGTACTATGTCCACCCAGTTGGGAGATTTCAAAGTTATGCGGAAATATAGTGATGCTACAGAAATATGGCCTTTCTGGGCAGCCGCCAGCGCGTGTTGGCCATCTCTGAATGTTATACTCAGGGTGTGGTCGTCTATAAAACGTACTAATGTTACGTCACCGATCGTCGCTAATTCTTGTAAGATGGCAGACATAACGTTATCATCGAAAACTGAATCTTCGCCATCGATATCATCAAAAGGCTGCACAACGATGCTGGCATCCGGGGGACCGAGATCTTTTACAACTTCGTAAAAAACTTCCATACACTTAGTGTAACTAACTTGCAGTACTTCTATTTCCAATATTGCTATTACCGGTCGATGATCGCTTTGTTTCAGTTCTGCGCGTCCATAGTAAAGTAATTTTCCTGCAGCCAATTCGGATGTTGTTTCCGGGTCAATGGTGTGTTTCCTGCTCCTCCATAGAACTCTGTCAGTCCAAGCCGGCGCTCGGCATTTTTCACTAGTATCATAATCATCACTGAATAGGTCATACTTATAAGTAGGCGGAAAAGTGATTTCTCCTTCGAAACAATTTTTAAAAACCAAACCCTGAGACTTTTGTCTTGTTAACTGGTCTTGTTCTAAAAGTCGTTGCAAATTGTTCTGTGCAGCCAATAAGCGCGACTCTTCCTTATCTAAGTCTATGCGATAATTGAAATCTCCACACCAAAATACATAATCATGAGAGTAAAGAGATCTTCCCATAGGGAAAGCAATCTTTCTAGTAATTTCCGTATAATCAGCATTACGTTCGGATACTTGCGACTGTCCTGCAGCAAAATGAGCACAGACAAAAGATAATGATGTGCCATAAATCACCATTCTTATTACAACAGCTCCTTTGTTACCTGTGGCGCCACCTAGACCAGTTTTAACTGAATCAAGTGCCACATCTCTTATATGCGGAATTAGGTCCTTCCTAACAAATATGAACAGACAAACTCCTACTAATTGATGACTAGATAAGAGAGTATACGAAGCATCTCTGCTTAATACTTTTTCTAATTCTTCGCTCCAGGCTTTAGCATTATCAGAGCTAGCAGCCATTATATTGCTTGCATTTAAATCAACAATCTCTTGGAATCCTATAGCAAAGATGTCAGATGGTTGTTCACTCATATTTACTGTTGATACTAAAGATGAGTTAGGACAATCCAAAAGCCAATCAGCTAAAGATACATCTTTATAGGCCAAACTTCTGAAATGTTTGCCTCCGTTGACATTGTATGTACCAATAGTAATCCGAATGCTGGATGGTTGAGTAAATTCATTTGCTCTACGACACATTTCTCTCAACACCGGAGTTGAGGTATGAAGGATATTTGGAGGTAGTAATATTCTTGTACGATCAGCAAGCTCTGAGTTCAATGTAGATCCCAATAACAATATGTCAATTGCTTCTTGTTTAGAATTATCTAACAGATTGTTCTGAATAGTACGAGCGGCTGACCTGGCTCCATCTATAAGCTTTGAACCACCCTGTATAGCTCCAGTGCCTGCATAGATTTTAGAAATCTCATTTCCATTATTTATCCACATCTGTTTAAATACCTCTTCAAATCTATTCACATTTTGTTTTTTATCCACACATTGCAAAAGCATCAGTTG